ATAAAGAAAGTAAAAGAACATATCTTATTGGTCCAGGTATATGTTGATGATATTATTTTTGGATCAACTGATAATTCTTTGTGTGTAGAATTTGCTAAGATAATGCAGGGAGAGTTTGAAATGTCTATGATGGGGGAATTAACATTCTTCCTTGGACTTCAAATAAAGCAACTTAAAGATGATATCTTTGTCTCTCAAAAAAAATACTGCAAAGAGATACTCAAAAAGTTTGGAATGGACACCTCAAAGGAAGCTAACACACCCATGGAAACTTCATGCTATTTAAACAAGGATGAATCAGGTTTGGAAATTAATCAATCTATGTATAGAGGTATGATAGGTTCTCTGTTATACTTAACTACAAGTAGCACTGATATTATGCATTTTGTTTGTGTGTGTGCTAGATTTCAGGCATGTCCAAAAGAATCTCACTTAACTGCAGTAAAAAGTATTTTAAAATATTTAAAAGGAACTACTGGTTTTGGTTTGTGGTATCCATCTGATGCTTATACTAGTTTAATAGGATATTCTGATGCTGATTATGGTGGATGCAAAATTGATAGAAAGAGTACTAGTGGGACATGTCATTTGTTAGGTTCATCTCTAGTATCTTGGCATTCTAAGAAACATGCATATGTTGCTTTATCCACCACTGAAGCTGAATATATTGCAGCTGGTAATTATTGTGCTCAAATTTTGTGGATGAAACAATAGCTAGAAGATTATAGTATATTTCTAAATGACATACCTTTGATGTGTGATAATACGAGTGCAATCAATCTTACTAAGAATCTAGTAATGCACTCTAGGACTAAGATAGAGATTAGACATCACTTCTTAAGAGATCATATAAGCAAAGGAAACTGTAAAATTGAGTATGTTGATACAAAGCACCAATTAGCAGATATTTTTACTAAGTCTCTACCCAAGGATAGATTCTATGATCTTAGAAAAGACTTAGGGATATTAGAAATAGCTTAAGTTTTGCTTAATTAGACAGTTTTTGGATGGTTGTAATGTTATAATTCATTATGTAGGATGTTAATAGATTATCATGTGTATAAACCTCAAAAATTTGATGAACTCTCTGGAATAATCGATTATTTGGAGTTATAATCGATTATTTGCATCCAAAACACCCAAAACATGACATTTCTCTCTGGATTAATCGATTAACTCGCCAGATAATCGATTAAACTCAGTGTTAATCGATTAACAGCTTGAATTAATCGATTAAATGAGTCTGGTATTGGTTTAATCGATTAATTCAAGATTTAATCGATTAAACCTGACAAGTTTTGATTCCTAGCCGTTGCCAACTGCTCTCTTGACCCTTATTCACTTCCATATGACCGTTGGAGATGCTTGGTTATAAATAGGGACCTCCATTTCACTTCTACTCACTTCTACTCACTTCTATCTCTTGAAATCAAGTTTTCTTGCCTCATTCTATCAATCTTGCTTTCTTCTATCTTAACTTGTCCTCCTAAATCTTCTTGTTATTCTTCTAATCCTACAATGGCCTCATCTTCTTATGCTAAAATTCCCACCAGAAGAAGATCTGCACCCTCATCTCATCCCCGTCCTAATTCTATAGAAGGATGGATCTCTGATGGAGAATGCCGACAAGAATTTCTGTCTTATTGGAAGGAACGTGGTATTATTTCTCCTAAGTTCCTTATTGGTGATCAGTTCATCAATAGGGGATTCAACTTTCCTAATCTCCTTGAAATTCAAGGAGTTCTCCCTTTCATCCAAATACAAGGTACGTATTATCCTGACTTAGTTAGGGTATTTTTCTCTAGGTTCAAATTTAGAGATCAAATTGCTACCTCTCGTGTAAAGGGAGTAACAATTATTCTTGATGATGATATTTGGGAGAACGTTGCCCATTTTCCTATAAGAGAAGATACTATTAACGTATTTGGTGAGTTAGATGATTTTGACACGATCATGGCTTACCGCTCTTTTCTGCGAAACCCTTCCATGGAAATAGGGCGTCTCCTTCTAGTTGGACCTTTGAAGAAGGAGGAACGCATGATTTTGCATTTACTTGTCTGGATCCTATGTCCTCAGGCTACAAATCAAGCTCAATGTTCTTCAATCGATTTTCGTATTATTCATGCCATAATGAATAATGAGCCTTTAGATTGGGGCATTCTTGTCACCATGACTATGTTAAAAGCCAAACGCCATCCCACCTTCAAAATTCCATATGCCCTCCTTGTCTCTCGCATTCTTGAATACAAAGGAGTAAATGTCGAAGGTGAACAAACAGTAAGAACGAATAACTTAAACCACTTGCTAGACAACACATTAACCCAACTCCAAATGGTGCGTGTCAACAATATTTATGTTCACAAGGATGATGTTCCAAACGAAGGTGACGATAATGAAGATTCTGATAAAGATATGCCCCCTGCTGCTAAGTTTCCCTCTGATCAAATTCAAAGTGTTGGAACTTCCTCTGCTCATCCTGAAACCCGACAATCTATGGAAGATATGTTATCTGATATGAATCAGAGGATGCAGGCATTCTTCACTCTTTCTGGAGTGCGGCATGAGGAAATAATACGGCGTATATCTGATGTATATGATAAAGTGTGCCATTTAGAGAATAAATTTGATGCACACTTTCATAGTGATAGTGAAGAATTTTAAAGTTTGTTTTTATTTTATCTTGTGATTGTAATATATTTTCATTTCTGAAATAAAATATAGTGTTCTTTTAATGCTTTGATTGAGGGAGAGTTATCTCTAAGTTATGCATATTTTGAGGGGGAGCTCTTATGATTGTTATAGAAGAATTCTTAATTTTTTTATTATAATCAAAATAGGGGGAGAAATATTTAAAGCCTCTTATGATTGAATTTAAATATTATCTGGTATGTTTAATGTGTTTGTTAGTATGACAGATAAAACATGTTATTACAAGGCTTTAAAAGAAAATTTTGATCATCATAAAAAAGGGGGAGATTATTGAACATACAAGGACTTGATGTTGAACTTACATGAAGCTTGTTGATTTTGATGATGATTCAAGAACAAAGAACTTAGAGAGTTGAAGACTTGTTTTATTGTGTAATAACTCTGTTTTGATTAGTTTGAGTCTGTAATATTAGAGTTTAAGATAGCCGGTACATAGTCTGCACTTTAGAAGCTTCAAAAACTCACATTTATTAGTTTGCCTCGGCTTTAATCAATTAAATGGTCAGATAATCGATTATTACAGTGAGAAAAACCATTTTCTGTATCTGTTCACTGTAATAATCGATTAACACACCTGTTAATTGATTAACAGGGCTTTTAATCGATTAAAACAGAGAGTTTTGGGGTTCTGTTGATTTTGGCTCTGTAATAATCGATTAACACTTCATTTAATCGATTATTTCAGTCAGATTTTGATTTTCAACTTCAAATTAAACCTATTTTCGAAAACCCTAATCTCAATACTCTCTAGTTCCGAAAATCCCAATTCCCAAACCCTAATTTCTCTACTTAAGGTTCTCTAAGGCTCTCAGAAAATTGAACAACATTTTTCAAATAAAAGTTAAGTGCTGTGAGTGCCAGAGAACTGTTTGTTGGAGGAAAAAGAGGCTTTTTGAACCTGGTGTGGGCTAGAAGCGATAAGAATCACTATGTGGAGTTCTTAGTGGATTGTGTGTTGTGCCGTCTCTGGGGAAAATTGTTCTTCATCTCTTGTGGGTTTCAAAAGAGGTGTTTTCTTTACTTTGTATTTTCAATTGTTATCTGTTTGTAACAACTTTGATTATAGTGACAGCGTTAATCCTCCGTTTGAGTGATTAGCAACTCGGACGTAGGGTCTTTTGATCCGAACCAAGTATAAATCTCCCGTATAAGACTCTATCTTTATCTTATTTACGTTTACACAGTATTTTAATCGATAAAATTTGGGGAAAATTTTTAAAACCTAATTTTTGTTAAGAAACCAATTCATCCCCTCTTGGTTTTTGTCCAACAAAGCGAACATTCAGCTACGCGATTCTAACATTTTTTACATATTTTTTTAAATATATTTTTAATTATAGAAATTATTTTAAAATTTTATTTATTAATTAACATTTTTATTAAATAAATTAAATTTTTTATTATATTTATATATTAAAATAACTAATTATAATCAATAATTTAAATTTAATTCATTAATATTTATAATTTAAATTATAATATTATAATATATTTTATATTTTAATAATATAAGAATAAATATATAATATTTTTAATTTAATTTTAATATATAATATTTTTTAAAGCTGATAATTTTTTTCATCTCATCTTAACTCACCGATTAACGGTTAAGCAGGATGAAACAAAAAGATAAACTAAAATTATCAATTCTTTATATGAATTTTTAGATGAACTCATGGGTTAATCCCTCGCACCTAGCACTTTTTGGCATTGTATGATGTAAGCCGCGAAATCCTGTCCAGTATTTATATCTCTTTCATTTGGATTTTTTTTCTTTTTTTTCTCTTAAGAGAAAAGAAGGCTATAAGGAATCTAGTTTCTGGTGGGGTAACATTTTTTGGTTGTGGGCTTCATTATCCAATTAATAGAATATTATTATCATTATCTTATTTTCTTTTCCCCTATTTCTTTCCCAAATTCCCTCTAAGAAATGCACATGAAGACAAATAAAAAGAGGGGAAGAAAGAAATCTAAGAAGAGGACGGGTGCCAGTTGTGAAATTTGAAAGATGAGGAGGAAAAAAATTTAGATGGGTGAAATGATACAAGCACACACAAAAAATGATAGAAAGGGGTCTAGAACCCTAGAATAACCTAGAATCAAGAGTCAATAACCCGAAGCATGACATAAAGACAACAAAAATAGAAGCGACTACTGGAATCTTAAAAAAAATATCTTGATATGTTTTTTTCTGTGTAAGGGAACAAAAAGAGTCAATTACAAACAATAGACACAATCCTCCATTCAACTGTAAAATCGCTAGAAAAGTACATATGCTCTTTGATCACATCCTAAAATGGCCGTTGAAATCCTCCTAAACTGAATAAAGAATGAAGGAATGCTGATTCACTAAGTACAGGGATTCTCACAAATGTACCCAGAAGCGCACACCTTATACACCTTATCATTACAAAAATATAAGCCAATGCCACACCAGCCCAGTAATACATTCCCAATGTTCCCTTGAAGTGTATAAGTGGCATGAAATTGCTTGAAATCCACACTATCTGCAGAGCAAGTTCCAGCAACATTCCCATCATTACATGGAATCTGAAGATAAGAGGCAAGTCCTTGTTTTTCACCACCCATACAATAGCCACATAGCAATATAGCATAGGGAACCAGTTTGGTAATCGGTTGACAGCTCCTGGGATATAAAAAATCAAATTCTGAAACAATGGAAATTTTTCAAGGATAGGTTCCAGATAAATCCCAGCTGCAGATGTCTGCAATGCTATCAGATAAGGAAGACATGATAAAGCCCTCCACGTCCATTCTGGCTTCTCAGCATTTGCTGGGATTCGGAAACCAGATGAATGATATATAAATGCTTGTCCACGGATAGTAGATATGCGTCTTTGAGACATAGGAAGTCTAAGTGAGGGGCGAGCTTTTTTATCAGCGAACATTGGAGATGAAACTGCAGTGAGTTTGATAGCTGATTTTCCTGATATAAAGAATTTGGGGATTAAACAGATAGAAACAATTTTAAGCACTTAAACTAAATAAACAATACATGCAACTTCAAAAAGGGATAGCGTTTAGATGACATGGTGAATAAATTTCTTAACATTGAAATGAACAAAACGTAATGAGGAGCTTAATCAAATCAGCATACAAGTCTTAGACATCCTCATATTTCATTACTACAATCGATTTAATGAAGCTATTTATATATTAATATCAGATGGAAAATCCTTAAAAAATGTTGGGGAGCAAGATGCTAACTTACCAAGAGAATTGCCCGCAAAAGCTGTGATGCCATTATTCTTTTTCTTGTTGATTATAGAGCATCTTTTTGGAGTCAAATCTTTATTCCTAGTTCAAAACCACATATAAAGAAAATATCAGTTTCAAATGCAAATAGAGAAGCATGGGAGACCATGATATAACAATACCAACTCATCAGTTTGATGCCCGAGATATACAAGTATACATTGACAAATGTCTCTTTAACATGCCACAATTACTACACAAAAGCTTTAAAATGTGACCTAATTTTCAAATTTCTCATTGTCACAAGGTCCTTTCGTGTATAAGCTAACTTAGGTTAACCTAACGAGTGCACTCTGACGTCTAAAATTTATTCCAAATTAGCACAACAACACTAAATCAAATGGCCTTCCATTTATGTTCCAACAGGCATATACTTGAGCCATCTTTCTTTTCAAATTAAAAAGTACAAACAATGACCCTACATAATGCCTCAAGGCTTGTGCTCTACGCATATGGCTAAGGGAACCTAAAAAATGACGGACAGTGAAAAACCACCACCACAACTCAAGGACTAATAATTATGATTTCAAAATTTAATGCTAGAAATCACAAACCTTAGTATTGATGACAACGACAAGGTTCTACATCATAAAAGAGGAGAGGATTGATCAATCGCCAAATTTAATGCAACTGTTTGTCTACTACATGAAAAACTCCAGTGGCACATCTCACTTCAGAAAGATAATATATAATTCGTCAAACTATGGCCGTTTAGGCCATCTTAAACCATAGACTTACAAACTTGGGTTCCCCACGATACAAGATACGGAAAACAAGACAAGAAAAGGCTCCACTAGTTTGACTTCATGGTTGGTGTAAATTTATATGAACCAAAGGCCATATCATATGAGATAGTAAATATTCAACAACAATAAATATACAACAGCAGCACATGTATCAGATGAGAAGAAAAGGAATATTAGCGAATTGTAAGTTGTGGGATACAAGAATACCTTGTGAAACAGAGGAAAGCCGAAGAGGGAGGAACAAGGAGAAGAGAAGAGTTGGTTGCTGCCAATTGAGATGACATCGTCTCTCTTCTTTGCCACTATCACACGAAAGAGAACAAAATTATAAACATGAATTGATGTAAGTTTGCATGATGATAAACAAAAAAAAATAGTTTATCACCTAAATTTCATTCAATCCCCTTCTCAAGCTTTTCATCGAACTCCTTGGATGCGTTAGAAATTCAAGAACAACATACAAACCAAACTAAATTCGTACGGGTTTGATGATGGTTACTTAAGTTCAGAAAATTCAAGATCACTTATAAGTTTTTTGTTGTTATTCATAGAAGATGGCAGAATCGCACAACATGGGGACCCTCTGAAAATCAATAACAGAAAATAGAGACCGATGAATTCGAAAGAAACACTATCTTTAGAGAATAGTCTTAATAATAGTTAATTAATTTTATTGTACGAGAAGTTGTTAAGCAAAAGAAAGAAACAAAACTTACGACAGAGGAGAGAGAAAGCGCAACACACACATACACACACGTTAAGAGCGAAATGAAAGTAACGAATGTGTTTAGAGAGAGAGCGCACTGGTATATTTATAGTAGTTCTTTACGCCGCCTTACTATGTAACAAGCCCATTAAGTTGTTGCTTTTATTCAGGTTTCATGCTTTTTTAGAGACTATATTTTTTTATTTAGTTTTCAATATTATGTTTTTTATTTAGTTTTTAATATTATTAAATTAATAAAATATTTTAAAATAAAATATATTTTCCATATAATAATTATAATTAATATTTATGTTTAATATAATTATTTTTTTATTTTTATATATTATTAATTATTTTGTTAAGTTTTGAATCACCATAATTAAAGAATTTGTCAATTTTATATCACATGTATAATTAAGTAATATATAATTAAGCAGCGTATGTGAAAACAATTTAATTATATATTATCTAGAGAGGAGAACTTGATGACTCTGATAGTGAACATTTATATAATTAATTATATTTTTTATGAAATTAATTTTTTAATTAAAATCATATACATCAGTATATATGTGATTTAATGGTTCAGGTGACTTACAAAACTAATTTTATCTTGAACAGTGAGGATTAAAAACTTAATAGAATAATTGATGTTGTATAAAAACCAGACAAAATATTATAATTATATTAAATATAAATATTTTTAAGAACTATTATATAAAAAATATATTTTATCTATATTTTCATATGTAAATTTCATTTTTCGTATTTATTTTTCAAAACGATTGTTTACATATTATTATTAAAATATAATTTACTTATTATGTATATAAACTAATTTATAGTAAATGATCATATAAAAACTAACAATTATTAAGAAAAATGGAAGATTAAAATTAATTTTAATTTATTTAAATTATAACACTAGAATATTACTAAATTAAAGCTTTATTATATTTTTAATGAGCAACTATTTATCTTTTATATATGTCGGAGACATTTTTTTATTTAAATATATTAAGTCCTTGTAAATATAATTTATTAGTCTTCAATTTTTATTTTTTATTTTTAACATTAATTAGTTAATGTGAAAAAAGAAAAAATATTAATTTAAAAAATAGAAAATATTTTAAATTGAAAAATTAGATTAAATTTATAATCAAATTAACTAAAATATTTAGTATTTTTATGAATAATATAATTATATACAAAATTTTATTTAATATAATATTAAAAAATCATGTTTTATTTTAATATATTATGAATAATCATTTTTATATTATTTTTCTTAAATAATCTTACCTTTTCACAAAATATTATTAAAAAGGATAGATTTATTTTTATTTTATATTATATTAAATAAATCAAAGAAAAAATAGAAATGGGTTAACTTGTGTTTTTTTGAAAGATTTATAAAAAAATCAAAAAACATATATATATATATATATATATATATATATATATATAAATATATATTAATTCGTTTTATGTGAGACTATATTTTTTTTTACCGAGTAAAATTTTCATCATTGTTAGACAAATGACATCTAGAGGGGGTGAATAGATGCACAAATTAAAATAGATGTCAAATTAAAAATTTATTTGTGAGTCAATAATTTGTTTGAACACAGATAAAGCGGAAGCGATAATATAATCAGGAAATGAGAAAGAGATAAGGGAAAGAGAAGAACACACAGAGATTTATACTGGTTCGGTATAGCCAACCCTACATCCAGTTCCTAGTCAACTCTTAACACAAGAGTGACTCCCCATTCACTATCTTTCAAATTCAGTTTACAAATTACAATCAACTCAGCAGAAGTACCAGTAAAAAATAAACTAGTTAAAAAGACAATCACCTCCTTAGAAACCCACTAAGGATGGACATCTCCCTAGAATCCCACTAGGGATGAACACCTCCTCTGAACAAATCAAATGATGAAAAACACCTCCTTAGAATCCCACTAAGGATGAACACCTCCCTAGAATCACACTAGGGATGAAAAACACCTCCTTTTCCTCAATACAAAAAGGATGAAGATAATAAAAATAAGAACAGACACACCTGGGTAATGGAGACAACAAATTGTAGAAGCCTATAGAATGCCAATGTTAAGTGGTAAAAAGTTGATATAATTATGCCTTGAATTGTTATGAAACCACTTAACTTATGTTAATTCTAATATATTTTTCTCCCAATATAGGATGAATTCGAGAGTACCTTGATACAAGAGTAAGAAGCATAATTGTCAGCATAATTAGAGTAAAATTGAAAGAAAGAAGAACGCTTAAGCGAATGAATGATGCGAGACCCAACCCAAATTCTCTTATAAAAAGATAAGTGTGTTTTGAGAAAAGAAAGCAGTCTTGGAGGAGAGAAGGCACGACTACTGTTAGGGTTTTGTCTAATTTTCATCAATTCTTCACTTCTTCATCAATTGGAGTATTGTAATGGCCAACATGAGTGACTAACTTCATTCTCTTAGGATTCGGTGCACTTCCTTTGAACTCTTTTGTATCATGGTGATATTTTGATATATTAATCTATGCTTTGATGTTATTATTCTTATCCTTTATGCTTTGGAATGATTTATTCTTGATGTTTGAGGTATGATTGGAAAATATATCTTGAACCTTAGATCACGATAAGAATATTTGTTACGTTAATTGCCAGGAATGGAATGAATGTATCAATTGCTTAACACCCTAACCCTAATGCTAGAAAATCTCTTAATTGTGTGAGGAATCAACATTTATTAGGTTTTCTTATGAATTTCATGTGTGAGGAATCAACCTGAATGATTTGAGTAGGTGGCATCAACATTGTTAGGTTAATTGACGTTCTTAATTGATTTAGCCATTACAAAAGAGGGATAAGGAAGGAAGTCAATCCTAAGTAACTTTAATTGATATTTTCTCAACAATTTACAGTTCTTTGTCATTTAATTTCAATTCAACTCTTATTTGCAAAACCCAATCTGTTTAATATACTTAATAAGCCTAATTGGGAATTTCCATTGAAATTGTTCCTCGTGGGATCAACTTTTATTTAATCGAAATACTATACTACGATTGATAATTTTGGTACGCTTGTCAATAATTCAACAAGTATTTCTGGCGCCGTTGCCGGGGAACGGTGTTCTTTGAGAATTCTTTGTTTAGCTTATTGAGTATTTTATTTTTATTTCTGTTTTATTGTTATTATTATTATTATTATTTAGTTTTTAGTTTGTGTTAATATTTGTTTGAGTTACTCTTTTGATTTATAGGTTTAAGAGGACAGGTATCTTCAGAGCAGTTAGAATTTAATCCAGAGATTGAAAAAACAGCTCGGAGGAACTGGTGTAGAAGAAGAAGGGAAACTCAAGAACAAACTACAAGAGAATCTGCTAATTCTTCTTTCACACTTGATTTACTAGACCCAATTATAGAAGATATGGCGGAAGAAGGAGCAAATCTGAATTCGAATCCAGATCCAAATATAAATCCAAATCAAAACCCAAATTCAAATCAACCTAGAAGAACTCTTAGAAATTGTGCTATGCAGCAAGGTCCAAGGCATTTTTCCAGCATTGTCATTCCGAATGATCATACATTGCAGATGAATTCATCCTTCTTAAGCTTGATTAGTGCTCATCAATTCACTGGATTGGATCATGAAGACCCTTATATTCATTTGTCTACTTTTTATGAGTTGATTGGTACCATGGGATTTAGAGCAGCAAATCTTGAATCTGCATATTTGATATTATTTCCTTTTTCTTTGGCAGGTAGGGCAAAGGAGTGGCTGAAAGCACATCCTAATCATAATTTGACTAATTGGAGTAGTGTAGAAGAGAAGTTTCTGAATAGATTTTTCCCACCATCCCGCTACATCAAAGCAAAATCTGACATCACTTCTTTTAGACAAGGAGCAGATGAAAAATTTTGTGAAGCATGGGAGAAATTTAAATCATTGTTGAGAAGTTTCCCAAATCATGGATTTGATGACGTTTCTCAGTTGAATATTTTCTATATTGGCTTGCGACATGATGCAAAGATGTTATTAGAGGCTGCAGCAGGAGGATCCATGTTGGATGTAGAAAATGATCATGCCACCAGAATTATTGATGCACTAGCCTTTACAGACCAACATGCACAACATGATAGGCATCCAATTCAAAGGAAGGGAGTCCTTGAACTTAACACCACAGATGCTCTCTTAGCCCAGAATAAAATTTTGACCCAACAAATTGAAGCATTGAACCAAAAAATAGAGAAATTACCTCAACAAATGCACACAGTACAATCTATTCCTAATCAATAGATGAGTTGTGACGTGTGTGGAGGTGATCATTCAAATGAACAATGCTCTTATCAAAACAACATTCAACAAGAAAAAGTTAATTATATGGGGGCCCAAGGTAGTAGTCAAGGCAGACAAGGAAATTTTCCTAATCCCAATAATTATCAGAATAATTTTGCACAAGGATGGAGAAGGAATCAGAATCACAATCATAATCATAATTTTGGGTGGAAACAAGGTGTTAGCTCATCTACTAGACAATCTGCATTTCAACAACAGTCATATCAGCAACC